TCCATCCATCCATCCATCCACCTATCCATCCATCCATCCATCCATCCATCCATCTATCCATCCATCCATCTATCCATCCATCCATTCATCTATCTGTCTATCCATCTATCCATCCATCCATCCATCTATCCATCCATCCATCTATCCATCCATCCATTCATCTATCTGTCTATCCATCTATCTATCCATCCATCCATCTATCCATCCATCCATTTGTCCATCCATCCAGCATCCATCCAACCATCCATCCATCCATCCATCCATCCATCCATCCATCCATAGTGCTCAAAATATAAATTTTAGACTTGAATAATTATATTCTTTCTCTATCTGAATTTGATCCAGTATCAAACATTAAAGCACAGTAACTGTACGTTATTAAATAAAACTTAAGTGCAAAACCAGYGATTTTCCAGCAAAAAATACAATTTATTTTAAAATTGTGACTTTTATTGGCAATTTATACAAAACATGCCTGAGTATGTGACGTCTGTTTATATGAATTTACTCTCAAAAACCTAYAGTACCTGATTAACTAGTTATTTTAGAAAAGTGACTGATCTTAGATAACAACAGAAAYTGAAAGAGTCCAGAGGAGGTAAACTATAACAAGAACATCATAAATGGGTTAGTTAGTTATTTAGACTAACATTTAAAAGAGTTAACAACATAATATATAGTTTTATTGTGTTCACGACTCTCAGGTTATATAAACACGTTATATAAAGTCAGACTTTGTTTGAAGTGGCTCAAAAGGGTCACATCCTTTATGAAGTCAATGAAAGCTCATTTAAAAAACTTTATAAACATTAAGTGAATTCGATTGGACTAATGATTAGCAGCCTTTCTGAAAGCATTTTGTGTCACACGATTACCTAATCAGCTGTATGTGCTTCAGTTAAAAGACCCAAAGCTTCTAAATCCTAATGATCTGCCTTTATTAAGGCTGGAGAAACATCTGTGAGTCCTGTTTAAAAAACAGATTTACTGTAGGAGCTCAGACGCTTGTAAAGACTGTRAACCCATCAGCCGGTCAGAAGGCCRGAGTCGTCCGGTCGTACCTGCTCAGTTTAGGAACACTGACTGGGCAGCAAATAGAAAAAGAGCAGGTCAGAAGCAGCCGCTGACTAAAAGCATCATAAATGTGACTGAGCTGAGAGACAACGTGACGCACATGCAGAGATCGGACTGTCAAGGTGATGCTTCAGCTTCTCTGACCAGCTTGTTGTTAACACAATATAACACGATATGATGGAAGGGCAGAACTCCTGTTCATTATCTRGGAAGATGGGAGAATTAACAGGGGTTTAATTAGARCACTTTATTAGGGGATTAACATRGATTAAWAGYAATATAATTCCCCATCAGAGAATCRAACTCTGCGTGACAGACAGTTACTGAACACTACTAACGAGGAGCTGCCTCTTACTGAAACATRTCACCTGTGTTGCCTTCAGCAGGTCAGCAGACCGTTAGCCCGATGGGGGAGGGGATATTAGTTTTTCAAAAGGAAAAAACATAATTTGTCTCTTTCTCTTTTTTATTGCTTAAAAGCAAAGTTTCCTCAAATGACTTATTCATTCTTTGCCTCAAGTTTTAAGTGTCTGGGTGTCTTGTTCCTGAGTGATGGTAGGATGGAGCGGGAGATGGATCGATGGATCGGGGTCTCACCCTCAGTAATGAGGGTGTTGCTTCGGTCGGTCGTGGTGAAGAAAGAGCTGAGTTGAAAGACAAGGCTCYGGATTTATTGGTCTGTCTAYGTTCCAAMCCTCATCTGCGATTACAAGGCGTGGATCAGGACCGAAACAACGAGATCCCAGATACAAACAGCCGAAATTAATTTCCTTTGTAGGGCAGGAGTTCTGATGAGGAGCAACATCAAAAGGAGTCAGTTGCATCGGTTCAGGCATCGGATTGGGATGGCCCCCTTTAGAGGTGTTCTGGGCCCGTCCCACCGAGGAAGACCCAGGACTCGCTGGAGGGAGGTCTGGGTTTCTCTCCTGGACCTGCTGACTCCATGAGCTGAGTACAGATTAGCAGCAGAAGATGTGGATAAAAAAAGAGTTTTAGCCATTTTGTTCTAACATTGTAAGTGATGTTATGATGTAATCTTAAATTGTAGCTGTTTTTGTGTTTGATCAGGTTATTTAAYTGTCAGCCACCTTGATTTGGGTACTTCTGAAAGTAAATGAGTTTCATTTCTGTGAGGTTCACTTAAGAGTGGCTCATGGGAWATTTTGCTAACAGAAAAACGGAAACATGATTGTCTTTGCCTTTGGTGGCAGGTAGGGGTAAAAAATGTATCACAATTATTTGTGGCATTTAGCCGAKGACACTCGTAGCCGACGTGGTCTTGGCCTTTTCTGRCTTTCCTCGTACTTTGATTTRTGTTTCAGGTGATTCAACACGTTTGTAGCGTTAGCTTTAGGTGCCCTGCACCACCTTCTGCCAACGGGCTCACATGCTCACCTGATAGTGACGATGTGTTTCACACAAAAACACGTTTTCATCACATAACACCAACTGCACTATTTGCAAAGTGACACATATTAATCGTTCTGACAGTTAATTGCAGAGCTGTACAGTAACTAAGTACAAATACTTTGTTACTGTACTTAAGTAGAAATTTTGGTTATCTGTACTTTACTTGAGTAATTATTTTTCAGCGTACATTTTACTTTTACTCATTACATTTTTACACAATTATCTGTACTTTCTACTCACAAAAAGGTTAGAAATAGAAAGTCGTTTCTCCTATTTTACTCCAAGTTGTTACTACTTAAAAAATACTATCCTGATAAATTGTCTCCTGGATAGAGTGAATTTAATTGTGGTTGGATGAGAAGTATACAGCGGGTAAAATACGTATTGAACACGTCAACATTTCTCTCAGTAAATATATTACTAGAGGTGCTAATGACATGAAATTTTCACCAGATGTCGGTAACAACCCAAGTGATCCATACATACAAAGAAATCAAACCATAAATGTCCATAAATGAAGTTATTTRTAATAATGTGGAATGGCACAGGGAAAAAGTATTGAACACATGGAGAAAGGGAGGTGTAAAAAGGCATGGAAAGCCAAGACACCAGCTGAACTCTCTCAGTAATTAGAAAGCAAGCCTGCCCCTTGTCAGTGCAAGTTAATATCAGCTGGTTCAGTCCCAAATGATGGCCAGGTATCACACAAGAACCATCTGATGATGGGTAAAAGTAAAGAGCTCTCTCAAGACCTTCACAACCTTATTGTTGCAAAGCATAATGATGGCATCGGTTACAGAAGAATGTCTAAACTTCTGAAGGTTCCAGTGAGCACTGTTGGGGCCATAATTCAGAAGTGGAAAGAACATTATTTCACCATAAACCGACCACGACCAGGTGCTCCTCACAAGATTTCTGACAGAGGAGTGAAAAGAATTATCAGAAGAGTTGTCCAAGAGCCAAGGACCACTTGTGGAGAGCTTCAGAAAGACCTGGAATTAGCAGGTACGWTTGTTTCAAAGAAAACAATAAGTAATGCACTGAACCACCATGGCCTGTATGCACGCTCACCACGCAAGACTCCACTGCTGAAGAAACAGCATGTTGAAGCTCCTTTAAAGTTTGCTGCACAACATTTAAACAAGCCTGTGTAATACTGGGAGAATATAGTCATATTTATAGTCAGCCAGCTGAACTTAATGTTCTCTGCCACCACATGGACTTTGTTGCATGGTAAAACCTCTTCGGTATCAACTCTAAAACACATCTTGAACACATCAAACCCTCCTGGTTTTTACAGATATTTAATGTTCCTGTGTGTTTCAGCAAAACGCTTTCCTTCTGCCCTAACGTCCCTGCAGCAGTGATGATTCCTGTTAGCTAACCAGTGATACGAACCTGAAAACGTCATCTGACACGAAGATGAAAATGTCCCCCAGAAGATAAATAAACCTCATTAAAGAGACTCACCTGGTCTTCAAAGGACAGGGCCTGCCCAACGTCTCGCGGGAACCCGTCTATGACGATCCCGTTAGCATCTGGGATCTTCATAATCTTCTGTTTTATCTCAGTTATTGTTGTCTCCTAGAAAACAGTGGAAAAAAGGCAACATAATATTACTTTTCTGTTAAATGCCAAAAAAAGCAATAAAACAATGTTAAATGCTACCAGAACCAGCTGTAACTCCAGGGGGGGTCATTAGATTTTTGATCAATACAAATAAGAGTGGGGGGTGGGGGTGGGGGTCCTCCATGAGGAGAGAAAAATCTCTGTTATAGATCATAAAGCAGCCATCACTAAACCTAACGAGTAAACTAATTATTGCCAGAAGGTGGAGGTGGAAGATATTGATTTTCTCGTGTTTGTTTGTTTGTACTTTTAGCAAAATATCTCCTGAAGCACTGAGCAGATTATATTGAAACTCTCAGAAGGCAATCATTGGATTGACATCTACAGTTAATTACATTTTGGAGTCAATCCAATCCACCACAGCAAAGAGAGCTTACCAAACACAAAATGTTTCTAACTCAGTCGATTTTGCAGATATTGATATCAAATTGTGAGATTGATCCCCTATAATATTTGTGTTTAAAACTTTGGCATTAACTTTAAAGTACCTGTGRTAGGCACATCCTTCAAGTATAAAATTTCAAAGAAAACATCATTATATTTAATAAACTTGGAATAAAACACGATTTTACCAATTTTTGTAACATAACTGGCATTTTCTTATGAATGTGGCTCAACCAAAGTGGAACAGGAAGTGACATCAAAGGGGAACTCGTGAAGAGAGGAAACTCTCTGGTCTTTGTTTATTCAAACAATGTTATTTAAACTCTGATTCTTTTTCATCTCTCTGGTAGTGACTCAAATCAGTCCAAAGAAACCTCAGATTCTTCTCTACAGTCTGTTCGTTATTGCAGCAATTCTCTGTTCACATTCAGACATTCTCCTTTGACATCACTTCCTGTGACTTCACATGTGAGTATGCCAATAACTGTTCATCTTAACGGCGTGAAATTGTTTGGCAATGTGTTGCCAATGTTATCTTTCCAAAAATACATTCATATGTATTACAAAAAAAGATGTCACAGGTACTTTAAAGTCAACTTTGTTAGCAAAATATCTCATGAGCCACTTGATAGATTCTAATGAACCTTCCAGGAAAAATAATAAATAAATCCGTTTTAAAAAACTACAATCATCTGATATTAGCCAACACAAAAATGGCTAAAATTTAGTCAGTTTCACAGTTATTGATGTAGCCATAGCTGAGACTCATTTACATMTCAAACTCTGAGTAATAACTCTCAAACTATAGACTGAGATCAGGTATAATGCTTGCTTTTTCAAAGTTTCATCAAAATGGCTACAACTCCATACAGCTCTGGCATGAAAAGTTGCTGGAGGTGAGCATTTCATGAAAACAATGCAGGCTGTTAATTTAAAAAAGCAGGTGCTTTAGACGATTCCTCCCTCTGACGACTCTTTAATATTTGTAGCTGCAGCGGAGCGCCGAGCTCCAGGAGGCAGAAATGCCAACTTCTCTTAGCTTCACTTACTTCCTCTTGGCTGGAGGAGGTCAACATGATTGAACACATTTCTGCAGGCCGAATGCAACTCACAATCTGGCAGAGATTAATGAGCAATGCACCGATCTAAAAATAACACAACGTACACAGTTGTTTAATTTCTCTTCAATATCAGAATGCGGTCCAGGATACAGCGCAGAGATTAAATCTAATCTAGAGTCCATAAAATAGATTAAATCAAGGGGGCTAGTCTAAGAAAAGCTTTAAGATTCAGTTTCTGGATCTCGCAGGAATTTAAAACATGGAGCAGCGACGTTTTGACTCTTGCAGAGAGAATCCACCCACGGAAAACAGCGGGTCCAAAAATCACCCCGTTTACTCACTCATAACACAAAACCAGACGTGAGGAGGCTCTCCGTGCAGAGCGCCTTTCACTCTGAGCTCAGATGTTTGTTTTGCGTCATTGCTAACGAGTCATGGTTGTAATTTTCACATCTATCAAATGTGACACAATGAATTATGTTGCCTTTTCTGTAGGAAGCGATAAACAAGATGAAGACCCTTTTTGTTGTTTTTGAGAGCTTGTTTTGTGCTCATAAAGTAGAAAAGTACAATATAGTYGACAGAGAAGGAAGTTTAATCATGCCACTGAAGTGATATTTGGTCTAAAAACTTTTTAAAAAATTGATTTAACAGAATAAATATGAAAAATTGTAAGAAATCCACAAATCTAATGCCTATCCCAAAAAAGAAGGAACTATTTTGTTGCTTTAAAAGTTACTCTGAAGCAAAAGATGATCCTGAACTACGTAATGAAAGGATTAATTTAAACTTTTACTTCAGTCATTTTACAGAGATWTTGATGTATTTCTGAAACGTTGGTCCAAACTCCATGTAGATGAAGCAGAATCYATGAAAACCCAATGGAAGCTTCTTTTTTTCATTGACTATGTAAAACGAAAAGACAACCCAAACTACAGTATGTCTCCATGCGTAGTTTGAATGCATTCAAATCAAGGCCTGTGGGCCAAATGTGGCCCGTGAGAGCTTCAAAGATGTATTAATGTCTTAAAATAAGCTGCTTTAAGCCAGCATTGACCATAAACTACATTGTTGATTATTTTAGTTGCAAAATGATGACATCCCACCACTAGGTGGAGCTGCACAGGGTTCAAAAGTAGTTGATAACGGGCTAAATTCACAGAGTAGAATCTTCATTTTGCTGAATTTCTGATGGCTACTTTTGCTGCGGCCCAGCTGTACTGGATAACTTATTGCCAAACAAATTATTCAAGGCTGAGATGATCAGTTATTGAGATATTTGCATGTGAAGTAACAGGAAGTGATGTCAAAGGGGAATGTCTGCATGTAAACAAAGCATTGCTACAATAACCAACAACACAGACTGTAGAGAAGAATCTGATGTTTCTTTAGATTGATTTGAGTCTATCAGAGATGAAAAAGAGTCAGAGTTCAAAGGATATTGTTTCAGTATAAAAGACCAGAGGTCCTTTTTCTTAAATAGTTCCCCTTTGATGTCACTTCCTGTTTCACTTTGGCTGAGCCAAATTAAAAATAACATTGCCAGTTATGTGACAAAATGTGCAAAAAAATGTGAAAAAATTATGTCAAGTTTCTTAACTTGAAACCCTGTGGCACCTATGGGTGAGTGCTGCAGCACCTGACGCGCCCCAACTTCCCACAGCCTTTGAGAGAAGATTTATTGACGAAATCAGTAAACTGCCTCTTTAAAACCTTTGAACAGTCTCACAGGATCGGCAGGATTTGAGTGATTTCACTGCATTTTCACAGACAAAGATTTTAAATCATATAAATTTATTTACTTCACTCCTCGCACAAAATACCTGTCCCAACTCCCGACAGCCAYTTTGTCATGTCTGACACGGTTTGACCTACTTTGTCTCGGTCGTTCCTGAACCAGCATCTGGGCCGAGGCGCTTACGGGACGAGTGACGTCTGAAACGTGYGAGGAGAGGATGATGAACGATGAGCCAGGCAGTCACTGAAGATAACTCACAAGAGGGCACGGACTAAAACGAGTTTGTCACGCCGACGCTTCGGCCTCGCAGCAACGCTGATAAATCCCAAGGACTCTGTTGACAGTAAGGAGCTCCTCTAATACTCCTGCTATCAAAATACACGCCCGGGGTCAGAATCACAGTTGTTTTGTGTCATTTTGTATAAGTTACAAGAATCTCCAAACCAAGCCAAAGAAACATCACATACGTGTGAGTATGTGTGTGACGCTCAAAAACCTGACAAAGAAAATGTAATCATACAAACAAACTAAAACCAGTCACCTGCCAATTTCATTTACACTGAAACAACGTATCAAAATGCAACGTATAGCTGTTTTCTATAAATGTATGGAGCCTAATTAGGGCCATAAAATTTGTCAATATATTTTTTCCACTGGGATTTGTATCTTGTGTTAATGTAAGCAGCTTAAATCAGTGAATCGTGTTAATTTTTAAAACCAGTTATATAAACATAGAATATTGATGATGTTTTAAAGACATTTTCAGTTCGGTTTYGGAATGCAACACACCCCCTGTCATCTGAAGCCCCGCCCCCTTAGTCAAAACAGGTCCAGAAGTTCAAAACTGAGAAAAAWATATATATATGTATGTATGTATGTATATATGTATATATATATATAAAAGAAACTGAAAAATAAATAACTAGAATCTGACAAATTATTTATATTTTTCTCAGTTTCAGATCCTTTTTTTGTTTCAAAAATATCTTTTGTTTTAGTTTCAAATCTTTATTTTTCCAGTTTCAACCCTATTTTTTCAGTTAAAATTATTTTACTTTTCAATTTCAATTCTTCTTTTAGTTTCAAATCTTTGTTTTCAGTTTCAGATCATTTTTTCAGTTTCAAATTTATTTCTTTTTCAGTTTGAAATCTTTTTTTCAGCTTCAAATCATTTTTCTCCCAGTTCCATGTAGGCTGATTTTGTTGTTTTTACTGTATCAAAATAAAGGCCTTGAATAAAGATCTAAATCCAGATAACTGGGATTATTGTCATGGCTCCCACAGTCAGCGGACCTTCATGATTCAGTCAATTTTTGGGGGAAATTGTGGTAAAAAGTATTGAGGTTGTAAATCGTTCCTCTGAAGGATCAGCTTTGAAAATAAATACAAAAATGCACTAAACTAGTTAAACCACGTAGGGTACACGATTGTTGAATATAGCAACAGTTGTCAAATAAGGTCACAAAAAGAAATTATTTGTTCATTGCGTGACAAATTCTGTACTTAATCTAAAAGGGCTGCAGTTTTGTTCTGCAACTTCTGAGATAAGGTCCAGGTTGGCATGAAACCCTCGCGGGATGAGATGATAATAAAACAACAGCATCCCTGTGATGTGTCGACCTGGACCTGAGTGTTCCTCCTCTACCTGCGGGGCCAGCTCTCCGTTGGTGATGATTTTGGCGATGAGGCTCCACTTCCTGTTGCTGGTGGCGTTGTGGATCATCTTCTTCCTCAGCAGCTCACCGACAGACATGTAGTGGAAGCCGTAGCGCTCGGCGATCTTCAGGCTCTGAGTTCCTTTGCCGCTGCCGGGACCGCCTGAAGCAGGAGGAGAGATGTTGATGCTTAGTTTATTATCGACCGCAGGTGATAGAAACTGTTAGCAAAATATCTCGTTTCTTCAAGGAATATTAAGCATTTCTTTATTTTCTTTTTTTTGCCAGAAGCGTGAGTGTAAAAAATGTGTGGGTGAGAGAAAATGAGACTGTCAGACTGTATGTGTGTGTTTGTGTGTTTGTTTGTGGAGGAGGAGGATAAAAAAACAGGTATGTGTGAACTGCCTACATTTTTTGACAAGAAGTCGTCTCATTTTTTCCGCTGCATTTCATTAGAAACTGATGAGCAGAGGAGTGAGAAGATGTTTCAACATTTTCATTTTCTGAAAACCACAATTCTGAACAAGAAACGATCACAAATTGTTAAAATACGAAAAAGTCAGAACCGGATGAAGTTGATATTTTGAGTAAAACTTCTTGTTGAGAATCTAGTGAAGTGAAATAAATATACTGATGATACAAAAAAATCACATTACAGGAAACAWTTTTGTAAAAATCATCTGATTAACTGAATTTCATGCTTTCTGGTTTCAGAAGGAAAAAAAACACTGAATTTTTTGTATTTTTGTTTAAAACTGGAGCAAAATTAATCAGAAAACTCCCAGTGTTGAGAGAAATTCAAGCAACATCCTAATAGTTTTTCTTTCTTTTTTTAAGGAATGAAATTTAAAGAGTGCGAAAACCTGAAAATAAGAGATCAATAACACATCTCGCACTAGATTAGAAATAGATTTTGAGAGTCGGGTCTCAGTGCGGTGCTTTCTGTTTTATGTATGAAGCAAAATAAGTATCAGTTGCTCATTTCTGTGCAGAAAAAAACCCTTCAGGCAGTCACAGTCTGGATTTATTTAAAGACAAAACACCTGTCGTTTCATCTGAAACACTTCAAACTTCTTGCAGGATGTGCAGAATTGTCAATGAAGGCACCTTTTTATGGTTTTATTTCAGAAATAAAAAAAACTTTTTTGCTGCGAGTTTAAATGCTGTTGACAAATGAAACACTGGTTTTAGGTTTTCCTCAGATAATATTTCATTCTTTTTTTACAGGAGACTCATCTTCACAAAGAATATTAACAAGTTGGACTAAGATTAAGCTCAAATGTGTGTTGGAAAGACCACAAAACCTTTGGAAAGTTTCTAATAGGGTCGTAACAATACGTAGATCCACATGAATATATTGATTAAATGATTAATGATTTTAAATGATTAATGACTTCAATACAAAATGAAAACCTTGATATCAAAATATCCTGATATTTCATTTCCCTATACTGTATCAATTCTTTAAAGCACTGTATCAATTTTTAATTGAGGCTTAAAACGTAAACTTTCATTCCAGCAGTTCATTCTTGTGTTGTAATTTAGGCTATGACCACTAGTTGGCAGCAGTCAGCCATTTGGCTTCTCCCAGAAAGTTTAACGCTAGCTCAAACGTTAGCGTTGTGAGTAATCATATAAAACATAATGATTTTTTTTAATTAAAATTTTGGGGAAAGCACACAATAAATCACAATTTATCATCTTCGTTACAAAATTGTGACATATCGCATCATGCCCCTCATGATACATATCATATCATATCACTAAATTCTTTCCAAAACACAGCCCTAATCAATATTGTATCAGTCACAGACTTGTGAATTGAATCAAATCAAAATCGTATTATAACAGACACTGTGATATTGATAAACATCGTATTGTTATCCAAACAAATCGATATAATATTATATCGTGATAAAGCTGCTGATTGGATCCTATGTGTGAAAGTTTTTTTCCCAAAAACGCTATAAAGAGATAAATCCATAGCTGCTTAAAACCAAGTCATTCAAAACGTAAAAGATTTTATTCCCGTCAGAATTGATTAAAAAGAAAATAGCTGTTTTTGCTGTTTTGACTTGCTTTCATTGGCTTAATTAGAATCTTTCTTTCTGTAGTTTTACACCTTTAGACCTCAAAATCACACCTGCCAACAAAAAACTAATTAAAAAATTGTCCACCATTCTGCATGGATTACCAGTTGTTTCTGCAGCCCACATCCCAACATCTATGACTGGTAAAACACGCAAACTGATGCTTTTTCTGTAGTTYCGAAGGCTGGAGACTTCAGGACTGCAGCTAACCAACATGCCACTTAAACTCATTTTGGGTCTGTGATCAGACACAGGCTGACTCAGGATTGTTCCAGGACTCTAACAAGCATTCCACAACCAGAACATGAAGCTATGTTGGCAGCAGAGGAAGTGGGGGAACGCTGTGATGTCACTTTTAATACCTGCTCATACCTGCCTGTACAAAAAAAAAASGATTTTCACAGAATTTGACTACAGCCTAGCTGCTTTATAATGGAATAGAGCAGTTATTTGTGGAGTTTATTTCACAAGACATGTTTTTGATGTGAAATAATGGAAATATTGCCACAGAGGAAAATCGTGAGGATTGACATAATGATGGATTTTATAAGTCTTGACCTTTGCCTCSTCTCAACGTCGTCCTAACAGCGCGTAACGTTTTTGTTGGTCTGTGTCTGCAAACCTGACAGACAAAACATTCCCCGTGATCCTCCACAGAGATGACAGCTGGTGCCGTCCTGCTTCTCCTCTTCAAAACCAGGGCACAGTGTGCTCACCATGAAGAAAGAGGAGCTGGCTTTGTGCTGCGAGGACAAATATCTATCAGCCCACTCCACAGCAAGTGCCAAAATCCCTCCGCAGCAGAAAAAAAAACATCTAAAGTCTTCAGAAAGACAATGAAATCACTTTCTAGTTTATTTTTTGACCTTCGTTCAGTCTGAAAGTTATTTTCTTACTTTAACTTGATTTATAAAATGATGTAAGTGTCTGACAGTGTTGAACTAGAGCTGCTCCATTGATCAAATACAAACATATTCTCATCCAGAATGCATATTTTGCATCAGCTAAACTTACTCTTTTTTAGTCTGTACTTTTAAATCAGCCCTCTCTAACACGAGGTRCCAAGTGTAAAATATAATGCTAAAAATGTCACTATCAAATTTTCATTATTTAGCTCACATTATTACATCGTTTAGTGCAAAATCCTAGTTCAAACATTTTATTATTTAGCTCAGTGTTCTTACAATTAGCTATTTTTTTTACTAAATGTTACATTTAAATGTTAAATAATATACACAAACATTAAATCCTAAATCTAAATGTAAAAGATGAAAATCTTAAATGTTGTGGCTAAATGTTAAAGTTTACATTTAAGTATTTGAGTTTAAATTTTAAATGCCATCTTCGGCAACGTTAGCGGTGTTAGCGTTTGCTTTTGTCGCAGGGTGATGACCTCGAACGCTCCTAATGCTGCTGGCTTTGCTAACCCTGTTAGCTTTGCTAATGCTAATGTTTTTACGTTGCACAAAGCTAAATATGAGAAGTTTACTGAGGTTGCAGGTACATGAACAGCAGTGACGTTTTACCAGAACCACGTAGGCGTCTGCACTCAAGTTGTGTTATGTTGTTGCATTTCAGGTTGCTAAAGTTTTTATCTTTTGTTTGCTTCAAATGTTTTGTATTCATATTTATTAAACAAGAGTACARCTCTTATACATGCATTTAAGCATGAAATATGTTAAGTTACTGCACARYATGTTGGTTTAATAAATGTAAATACATGAATATTTTTAAAAATGTCAGGTTTGTGTGCAGCGTGCATCATTTAAGTTGCCCGATGTTTCTGGATGTGTGAACGGCGTTCATACCGATGACGAGGATGACTTTGGGTCGCGGCCTGGACGGGTCGAACACCTCGTACTCCTCTATGAGCTCAGCCGTCTCCGACAGGTCCGAGTCGCTCTCGATGGAGAACTGGTTGATGGGGGGGAGGCGGTCGAAGCGTCTGTAGGGAAAGTTGGGGCTGTCGGGCAGCACTGATACACACACACAGAAACACACACATGGTTAGAAATGACCGGACGTCAGCTGGTTGTTTCTGCACTAATGAATGAATGAAAAACCGCTTTCTGACAGACAAACGAACGGCTGCAGGTGTCCTGTTGTAAAGGCAGAAATCATTGGGGGGGATCAAAGGCAGAAGTTTTCCATTTAAACAATCAAACAGTAAATTAAGAGGTTAAATCGTGAGAGCGATGGATGCAAAACAGAGCTGCTGCATTTCAGCTGCTAATTATCTTGCTGTCTGTCGTGATTAAAGCATTGATTATAAAGCTTTCACAACATTAACACAGTTACAAGAGATAGAAATCATGGCTGGAAGCCACTCCAGAGGAAGTGAGAGCTGCWATAACTCACTTTTAAAGCCAATGCAATCTCTTTAAAAATACGGTGCTGATCAAAAACTTGCAGCAATGACAGTAATGAAGAAAAGAAAGGCAATTTTGTGCAAAAAGTTCAGCAATAAGAAAAAAATTGTATTGCGCACAACTCAAACGTCCTTATAAAAAGGGAAAGAGAGTAAATGGGTGCCTGGTGTCATATTTGCTCGTTGATTTCATATATTCTTATGTATTGTATTTTGTATACTATGTATATAGTGTACAATGTATATTGTATACTTTTTGTATAAGTCTACTAGTTGTGCATGTTATTCACAGTTTTTTTGAGCTGATTGCCCAACCTGTTTGTGATTGGCTTAGGTGTTTTTTACCTCTTTATATAGATTTGTATTGTTTGATCTGTAACAAGTTGACGACGGCATGTAGCCRAAACGCGTCTGTTTTCTGCCCTTATTACCTCCGCCAAGGGCGAGGTAATGTTTTCGGTCGCGTATGTCTGTCGTTCTGTCTGTGGACAACATTACTCAAAAACTTGAGGACGGATTGTCATGACATTTTTATCACCTGTGGGTACTGGGCCAAGGAACACACCTTTAAATTTTGGTGATGTTCCGGATCACGATGCGGATACAGGATTTTTTTTTTCTTTTAACACTCTGAGATCGGCAAAGCTGTGATGCTTTCACAGGGCTTCTGTAAAAAACAGTGATCTGGATTGGACAGCACGGACTTCAAACTTTATAAAAGTAATGTTAAAACCAGATATAATGATGAATAATTTTTACCATAATATGCGCATTTACAGAACATTTTGTGACCAGGAAGTGCGTGACTGCACCATGAAACTTATTTTTCCCATTTCCTCAAACACACCACATTTCCCAAACAACCAATCAAACCAGTTTGTCTCTACTAGGCTTGTAAACAGAGAGCTGCCGGGCCTCAAAGTTTGGAGACGGGAGGAGCCAGGAAGCACTTTATAAAGAGAGTCGAACCATTACAAACTCATACAAGGAGATAAAACAGACGTTTTACATGGTGAAATGTGACTGATGRAAACTTAGGAGCTTAATCCCACACCAGTTTGACCATGAATAACGTCGGGTGACGAGTCTGACTTTTTTTTTCACAATGGACTCCACCAGGAAGAAACCCCGTGCATACTGCTGCTTAAATGTTCACTACCTCAGAACTTCATCAGCAAATGTGTTTCCATCTCTGCTTTTGCGCATTAACTCTTACAGGATGGAGGAAATTGGTCTTGGCGGAGGTTTGCACTCTCCGAGTGCTTCAAGTTAAAACAATAGTATTTTTTGGAGTGCTGGTTATCCCATTTTTTTTCAAAAAGTTCAGCAAAACTACTGAAAGTTGCTATTTTTATGCACATAAATCAAACATATGGGTAGTTATAGTAATAAAATCTGAGCAGAGCGTGTTTTTATTGTGTTGTGCTTCAGCCACGAGCTRCTTTTATCAATATTCCTCATCAACATGCACCTTCCAGCATCTCAAGAGTTAGGGTAACAGAATGTAACATAAATTGAAGAAAAAAAATCCTGAGTTTGGACTTTCCACGATAATCTACTTCTATCAAACCCTGCCTGCTTCTGTTTGTCTGTCTGACCCTCGGTGCAGTTTTTATGGCTCGTAGGTAAATTTGTGCTCGCTCACACGCTGGTACAGGAAGTCCTTTTCTCTGCTGGCATCACTGATATGAATCCCAAACAAATACGCTCACACACAGAACTGTCTAACAAACATCATTAGCATGCTGCTGGTGAAGTTAGACGCCCACTTTGCTTTGCAAATTCTACCCGCCCGTTTATTTTGCATCCCTGGGAACCACAGCTGTAATCAATAACTCATGAATGAGGAGCTTTTTGGAACTCTTAACCATTAACTTTGCATGTGCATCTCATGGAACCGCCTGGAGACAGAAGGCACATGTTGGYTGTTATCTGGGCTGTTTTTTGTTTGTTTGTTTTGTTTATTTTTGCTCGTTGCTGAAATACGTTTTTTGGCACTCCTCTCGTTCTGCAATTTTCGTGCTGTTTCAACAATTTCTAATCAAAAACGTTCAGCTCCTTCAGGACATTCCGACTATCACTTTTGGTATTTCAATAACTTATCC